CCCCCCCAGCGAGCCTGTTCCGAGCATGAGCGCTTCAATATGCAGTTACTTCAACCTTGATTTTGCCCTTTCCCACGAGTTCGTCCCCGTCAACCGTAACGATACGGGCTAGGCCAACCCTGTGAGATAGGATATTTGCACAGCTGAAAGAGATAGGGAATTCGTTACATATTTCACGCCCCGTGTATCCTTCTCCCAGCATGATACCATAAGTGTCCCCCCAATATGCGTGCTGCCGGAAGATTTGCCCACGGATCGACGCTAAAAGAGATGGAACACATGGCTGCTATCATAGAGGAAGAATAAAGAGATGCTTTCCGCGGCGTCAACCACAATCTGGAGCCAAAGTTTCCTCAACGTTGCCGTACATGTGCCGCTCGAGGCGGAAAGTCAGGCCTATCTGACCCCTCTCCAGCGACAGTTTTAGAGAGTCGAGAAATTGTGAGGGGGGGGTTTCCGGTGGCGCAGTCGATGGCGGCGTTTCTAACATCAAGTTCGAGTCAATTGCCTAGGCATGCCATTTCTGGACTTTCTGAACGCAGTCCTTAAAGATATAATCGAATATCCTAAACAGGAAGACATCTGTTCAATTATTCGAGTTCAACAACGGCTTCACTTCCCATTTTCCAAGCATCTGCTCCGCTGGCGGCCACAAAAGGGCACCTATCGATTACTCGTAAATAGGTGGAACTTGGGGCGGATATTGATCGCCAGATCAACCTTCGAGGTCATAAATTTTCTCAGCTGACCCTACTCCGTATCGTTACAGCGACGGGCGATCTTCGCATAATCTTTTCCCCCTCAAGATCGGGGCCGGCCTTAACCAGAGAGACGGTGGAGGCCGAACACCACACTACTGGGCTCTACTTTCCCAAAAAGAGGAGATAATCCAAGAATTCTCCTGGGGGACAGAGAATTTGTCGCAGTTCGTCGTCAATCGCCCATAACGATGCACTCTTCTCCACCTTGCTGCTGCTTGGTTCGGGCTGGTGGGCCTAATTTAGATATTTGGTTGAAGAACGTATATACTAAGGACAAGGGTATTCAGACGCTCCCGGACCTGGCGAAACGGGCTCTGCTGGAAGGGTGTTGGCGGCCAACCTCCGAGATCGAAAATGACAATGCTGTCGAGAAGATGGGACTGCTCGTGGTCCTTGGAAAAGATCCCGCAACCGCCAACTGGTTTACGGCTCGCAATACTGGTGGACGAAGAAGATATTATTGCCGCACCGGTGATCCCCGGCGGTGGGTTAAATCATGTCGAGACTGAGACTTCCGAGTCCAGGTCGGGGTCGATCATCTGTTGTCGAGGGATAGGCTTGCCAGTGCTACGTCCAGCGCCGATCACGATGCCCATGAAATCTGCCTTTCCTCCATTGCATCCACGAATCACGCATTCCCACCACTGGTGAATTCTAAATTGGACACGAATTCCAAGGCGCAATCCGCAAACGGTCTGTGGTCGACTGCCGGTATCCAACCTCTTAAGACAAAGCTGTCGTCAAGCGGTGAAGTGGGAGACACGTCCTTGCCGGGACTAGATCGCCGGAGCTTTTTCCGCGGGTGGTTAGCCACAGCTTTCGATGCAGTACACGATCAAGCAATAAATGCATGGACAAGGTTCAGAAAAAGTAGAGGGGAACCTGTTGGTGCGAACCCATGTTAAGGCCACTGGTGATGAAGCGAGCGACGCAGTTTCGAGGTGTAAATCCGTGAAGCCGCGGGGTAATAGGAGATAGCAACCGGCTCTTGTAGGAGCATCAATCAATGGATCAGCGTCACAAGCCTTCTACAACTTTCAATAGCTAAATTCGGAATATTGCGGGATCCGTTCCCACACCGTTCGCGAGAAAGTCTTCCAAGACCGGCACGAATTTTGCAGCGCTGCGTAGTCTGATGTGATTGCTAAATTTATGTCTCCGGCAAGGCTCGCAAGGTGGTGATTGTGAATGTCGTTAGCAACTTTCCACCATTTGATCATGGGTTAGCGACCCCCCTTCAATCATGGCTCGAATTGACTCGTGCTGCGAATATGCGAGATGGGGCGCCATGAATTGGCACACTCGATAGTCGGGACGCAGTATCACTACTATTCATTACACTGCACTCGCAGGTCTCGATCGGAGACGAGCATTAGTCTCATATTCATCTTGGGCATTGCAACGCCGTGCAGGAATATTCTGTATGGCATTGTCCCTGGGGGATGTCGTTCCTCATACGGGATTGTCGGCCGAGATTGCAGCGATATCAAGTTCGGCGAAAAGTCTTGCAGCCGCTGTGGTCGCACACCCATCAAATAAACCTAGCATCAGTGTAGCCTCCCTTTCCATCCCGCGTCGAGATACGAAGTTCTTCTCCCTGTAGCCCATCTTCCTCCAGCTCATGATCTAGATCGTGGTCCGTGGTCTCTTCCTCACGGCCGACGTCGCCCTCACCAGCCAGAGAATAGGGTACATCTTGATGACGATAGGCGTTTGAAGTCCAACAAGAATGATCGCAGAGTCGACTGGTAGCATTTCTTTGTGCGCTAGTGAGACCGAAATTGAAGGCAGAGTGACATAGGCGAGAGTCAATTAGGTACAGCGAGAGCGGAAATGAAAACAATCTCTTCACAACCCGAAGATACTTTGAACGACTCGTTGATCGGTTTGCCAATCGAAAAGGTCGCCGAGAGCTCGAATAGAGGGATGGCGAATCTAGTTTGCATAATATCGGTCTGGCAGTGTGCCGAATAGTCTCTGCACGACGAGTGTGAAGTCCTTCTATCGCTCGAAGTACGAAGCTGATCCTTTTCTCGTCCGATGAGGAAACCTGGAGTCGACCACCGGCTGGTACTCCTAAATGGCGGTCATTCGTTTGTGCGTCGTTACTCGGTAGGACGGCCATCCTGACGGGTATACCTTAACCAGCCTGACGAGAGGCTTCACCCCACCGTAAGCGTTGCAACCAAGAGCTCATCGTTGTTATGTCAGGCACTTCCTCGTCCCTGGAAGCCTCTCGATATTCTAGGAGTCGGGCTTGTTCGGCTCGACATGGCTGTTCCACTCGAGACGTCTCTGTCGCTGGTCGCGTTACCTGATTCGAACCGGCGTCCTGGCCGTATGCTGCTGAAGGAGGCAGTGAAGGTGGGGTAACGACGCAGTATTGGCGAGTTCCTTGTCTAACCTCACCTTGCAGGAAAATGTCCCCGTCGACATCATCGCTCAGGCCCCGCTCCAAGGGACCGGAAGACTCGGCCGAGGGACGTAGATGTTGTTACTGTAACACAGTTTGGAGCTGATAGTGAGATATTTACACCGACGGCAACGATAGCCGGCAGATATCTGATGGGGGACGGAGCTACCGGGACAAGGGGACACTAGGCGAAGATCACAAAAGATTCAGGGACGGAATCAGACGAGCGAGACCACGATGCAATGTCTTTGGAATCTTTATGCTTTTCCTGTAAATGACGGCTGACTCGCTTATCACGCTCCTGAAGTGCATAGCCGCAAGCACCACGCGTACAGATTAAGACACGATCCAGATCACCAAACTCCAACCCAAGTGACCAAAGCAGCCCACCGCCGACTTTCGTCGAGGAAGTGGGAATTTTGGCTTTAAGAGGCTCATCCGGTGCATGTGGCTTTATGGGTGAAAGAGAGCAGGGGCAGATAGCGAATGTAACGCATGTCCTGGGAGAAATCGACGGAAGTGCGACGTGTTTTTGGGGCACACGCTCTAACCGTAGTAAGTACTGGGCTACGCGTCGTCACGTGTGCATGGCGTGCCGCCAAGATATAGTCACGTGCACAGCTCTCAGTAGAGGCTGCGAAACAGATTTCAGAAGTGTTCCCCTTTTTTTGCTTGAACCCTGTGTCTTCATCGCCCCATTAGTCCATTTGGAAGATTCACCTTCCGTTCTTTGCATTATTGACAGGGGAATACTACAAAGAAAGGATTTTACGCTATGCCGCTGTTGTCGCGCAGTGGCAGCGTCGAGAACCCCATCGGCAACAATTCTCGCCCCTACGCACGAAGACGGACGGAACACCGAAACACGGTATGAGCCAAACTAAACTTACTGTGCTGCATCACTATCCCGAGATCAGCGGATAGCGGGAACACCGGTGGCATGTCGGATCTCGAAGCAACTGCGCCGCGATGTCTCTGTCCAGCAACGGAGAAAAATATCCAATCGAGCAACCAGTCGTCTGCGCATACCCCCAACCCCGGCGGATTTACACCATGAAACAGTGGGCGGCGAACGGGACGGTAGTGCAGCTCGCGGCGACACAACACTCCGAAGAGTACAGGCCTTAACTACATTTATCTCGAGTTTGTGGGAAGATGGTCAAAAGTACGATGAACTAAGTCGGGGACTGGAACACTTGGACTCACCCGAAAACCAGCGACAATGGTACCTTTGTTACTACTATGTCGTCTTGGTCCTCGAACGCATTCGGCGGGGTTTGGAGTCAAAAGGGGTCAGATTCTGGCTAACTGAAAATTCGGATGAGGATCGCCCTGAAACCAGGATGACTCTCTCCGGACGAACGTGGGAGTTCAATACTGTCGAGCATATGGCTAGGGTCTTGGAAGAAACCGTGAAAAAAACTTCAGAGAGTGTCAATTCGTACCTGGACCAAATAAAAGAGAAATACACAGAGAGGTATTTGCTTGTGAAGGATCACCATATGCGTGTATTCATATCTCGGCTGAAAGAATCGCTCTCAAGCAAAGGAGTCGCAGAGGAGTATTTCAGACCGCCTAGCCGTGAGGGCGTCATTGTTGATCTTGACCCAGATAAATCAGACCGGTCGCGGGTGCGGGAGACAGGATGATGCAGTGCAGGAATAATCTGGCGTAAATTACCGTGAGATATCCCATGTCCTCCGATCCACGGAGCATTCCAGATATGGTCGTTATGCTAACTGATTAAGCTGACCAAGACTTAATCGGTGCGCCAGACACGGAAGTCCTCGAAGACCGCATTTCATGAGAGATCCCGAATGGCATTCATACATAAGACAATTCATTCACATCGACCCGACAGTAAAAGATCTCACCCCCTTCGACGATAGTGAAGCTGATGACGAGGTCACATCTAGCGGCCTTTCAATTTTTGCCCGATCATTCTAGATTAAACTTGACGAATTTGCTAATAACAGCTTACCTAGGATGGATTTGGGGAAGCGATAGAAAAGATCCGCCTGCCAGAGCCGTTGGATTTTCTACTTACCACCGACGGCAAATGAGATAGGGTCCTAGGAAGATGTGTCTAGGTCTTCCATACTGTCGATGATTTGGTTTAGCAGTAGCTGGCCCTGAAAAGAAGGCTTTCTATATCAACGGCGACGTGAAGCTTGGTGGTGCTCTATATGCCCTGTACTGCGGTAATGGCCTCACGATCAGAAATCCCACCTTCAGCCTTGAATAATGAATTTACCCAGCTGAGCGAATATCGAACCCAATTGGACGCTTTGCTGTCTGAGGCGCGGCGGTCACGTCCACCCTCCCCTAAATCCCGCCCTCCCACCTTTATCACCTTAAACTCAGTGGACTTATGATACAAGAGCCCCTCAAAAGTAGCGGTCATAGTGTCGTCTTCGTACACAGACCTCGCCCAAAGCATCCACCCGCGTCATCTGGATCTTGAAACGGTGGGAGGAGTTGGTCCTTCAGTTCCAGAGCTGGAACTCCCTTAACCACTCTAGGTCGGTTGAAGAGCTCTCCTCTATTCCCTCTATCATAGCTAGGCTAGAAGATAGAGATTGTTCTCCGAGCTTGTCGCCAATTCCTGCTGGCTCTCATGGGTCTCCAGTAGGGGTAAGCTTTTCTGGACTGCATGTGCGTTGTACTTTATTATAGCCCTTTCCAGCTATACTATTATGTTAGCTGCTTGGGAACTAATAGTCCCTTGATTAATACCGCTAGGCGGAGGGCCCAGGGAATATTTAGCATGGATTATCAAAAACCATGCCTCCCACGTTTTCTGCAGGTTTTCGGGGTCCCTATGTTTGTACGCGTCATCTACTTTCTGCATGTCCTCATATCCAAGGTGAAAACTTGGATTTCCGTGGAAACGAAAGATACAGAGAGATCGGTCGTCGAATCGGTCCCGGAAATGGCTCCTTTCCTCGTCGTGGTCCTTGAATCTCAACGCACAATTATAGCAGCGGTAATGGTCTCGTCTGAGATGTGCCCTTTGAGGAATGCGGTTAGTGGGGTCAGGGTACCACAGAATACACTTACCAAAGATCGTCGAATAAGAAACCCGTCGTCGCACAATCATAGCCTGTGCCCACCACCCCAATTTGACTTCTATTAAAGCAGCAGTCCCACCGAACTTGGGATTCGACGCCGACTTTTGCCTTTTTCGACCGTTGCGGTTGATTACCCTCCTTATCACCCTTTCCCTGCTCGGCCCCATTGTCCGCCGGAGGGGCATTTCGCTTCTTGGTGGTAGAAGAGGCGCCAGGGCGCCGTTTCAATTCTTCCAATACTTCCAGCTGAGCTCGCTTCTTGTCACTTGACCCCGGGTGGGGACTTATTTGACGAGCGGCGGGTTCGACTCCGTCCCATATAAACCAGGGCGGGGAGTTCGGGTCGCTTAAGGAGAGGGAGCTTGCTATGGCATCCGGGTGCATTGACGGCTTCATCGAAGCACCAATGGGACGTTTCGGCGTCTGTTTCGCTGGATCGGTTTCGATCTTGGTCCGCCAGGGAGACGAACACACCCTCAGCAGTCTTGGTCAATCGTTCGGAGATGGAGGAGAGGTTTCGGCGGAAGAAGAGGTACCCAAGGGTATTGAAAACTTGGCTCCCCGGCGCGAGCAACCTGAGAGTCAGTCTACCAGCCTCACTCGATTGATCCAGCGAGGAAAGAACAGACTGAAAGTCGTCTCTCGCTTACCGTGAATTGTCGGGTTTGTTCCAGGGTAAAATCTGCAATCGAAGTATACCGCGTTGCTACCAGAGAAAACCGACCCAGGGTCTGTCATGATAAATGATGTATTTAAGGAGGTTGAAGATAGTCAGCGTGAAGAGAAAAACCGGAGGCCGAGCAGATATCCGCGGGGAAGCACTATACGCAGCTGCACACTACGGTATAACTTGCTCGTCTAAGTTACTGCGCAGTTGCGTGAGTCACGGGAAAGTGCTATGCGCAGCTGCGCACTGCAGTGGAATTTTGCTCATCTAGGTTGCTGCGCAGTTGCGTGAGATGCAGAAAGACGTCAGCCCAGATTTATTTTATCATGTGATTCAGCCACACTTGCGGATCACCACGCGGGGAAGTCGAGACTAGGGCCACGGTCTGTGTTAAAAGTGCGAAGTCACCGAAACATCTATGGCACTGTGAACCTAGGGGAGTCGGTGGCTTGTGCGATGTCGCGCATAACTACGTGTCAGACTTTGATGGCCTGTGCGTTGAATGATCCCCAACTACAGTCCCATAGCTGGTCGGCGCCCATGATTAACTTGTACGTATTTGCTATGCTCGTGTGTCGCGCACTATGCGATACGCAGAGACTTGTGTAATCACAGCCGCTAACCTCGTTCTAAGGAGTGGTCGGAAAGGGATAATGTTGCCGCTTAGCTGCGTTGGACACGCGCAAACGTCCTTAGGGTGGGCGGGACGCCGATCTAATACCCACAGACATAGTGCTCTCCTCAAATGCCTGCCACTTACTACCCAAGACAAGTCTATATAGACCCAAAGAGCCCAACTCCACCTATAATCATTCATCAAAGCATATACACCTCTAAACCAGTTAGAACGGCCCAGATTGAGCCGATGCGCCTCTCAACCATTAGAACAATCATATGGCGCATCGTCACATGCCATAGAGATGCGCCCTACCTCCATCAGGTTACGACTTCCAGCATCTTCGGTCTCCGGCCGTCCCATCGCTTCGTGGGCAGCCTGCTACTTCGCTTTCGAGGGAACTGGTGACGCGTACGGTAGAGCTTTGCTTAATCTCTGAATTGGTCTATACGGAAGATGCGCATTAGCGCCTTTGGAAAGACCTCGCTATAGTCTTAGGGTTCTCCTCCAGACAACCCGCTGGATATAAAGAAATGAACATAGTTTCACTGACCGCCTCCTCCCGGGGACCCCAAGCACTACGCCTTCAACTCCATCGTGGTCGGATGGGCAGCAGCGGGCGTGTCAGCCGTGCAGTTTCAGTCAGCGCGGATGTCGGGAGGGCACATCGTGTGTACAGTCAGTGGTCCCCGCTCCACAACAACAATATCATCTCGAATGTCCGCACCCGAGAGATTGGGTCGGTGGACGTCTGTGCCATAATTCACATGTGGACTGGAGAGGTGGCTAGGGCGGAGCGCAAAGTCCCGTGTAGAGAATGCTTTTTTGAGTGATATTTCCGATCTTCTCAGTTTCAGCGTGTAGTGCATTCCCTTTTCTATCTCTCTACTCTCTTTACCCGGTCCAAGGGAGTGAGCCTCAAGCCCCCGCTTCTATCCCACTTCCACTCCAGTTTGGAAGGTGCTCACCGTGCTCTCGCTCAACTGAGGACGTACGAAGGCTTCAGGCGATAGACGGAATGGGTGACTTGCAAGTCGGCAAGTCATCGAAGAAGGTGGACTGGCGCTCTTGACGTTAGAGTGTACAGGATTTCATTCCCACCCTCGCCGTCGCCGAGCGATTAACACGCTAACGGTGACCGAATGAGGTTGGTTGCAACTCGCAAGCAGAGACGGCGCGTCGCGGTACCGAGTTGCGACCCACGTACGAAGTCGACTCGGAAGGATCTGCGGCTCTATCGATTTGCCGATCGTAGGGCTCGCCGTGACCGCAGGGAGTTCAATCCGTGGCGGAAGGCGAGGATACAGGTGATAAATCTTGTTTCAGGGGACCGGAACTCAGACGCTCACGCTTACCCGTCATGATCTGAATCATCTGATTGTCATTGCTCACGACGTAGATCCGCAACCAAATTTACAGTCGAGTCTCGTGGATCTCCGCCGCACATCTGCGACACCTTGATTACTGGTCAGGATGCATAGTCCTGCTCGGCGAGTTGGAGGAGTGTGAAAGTACTGGATCTCGTCCTTTGTCTCTGCTCAGGTGTCGCCCGTTGGCCGGGATTTTCTCCAACCGAACTCCCCGTCGAACCTCATATCCTTTCAACAAAGGGCCGTTGTTGTGTGAATACGGCAAGTCATATCTCAACGACGGCTTCAACTTCGCGAGGACACTCGATTACTCAAGTCTCATATTCCCCAGGCCTTCGTAATCGAGTCGGTCTAAATACGCTCTATCGTCTATTCCACCCACGACAATCGGCCACTCACTTTCGATCCACAGGCATAAACGCACAAGAACTTAAAAGCAGCCCCAATTAATTATCGTAGACTCTGGACAGAATAACCTATCTGATGATCATTCCTACTAGACAAGCGATACAGCCAGGAGAAATTACTGTACCCCCCCATCGTACGGAATAATCACTCAATTTCCTGCTTCTCTGAAACTGCGAAGGAAGGCGGTTGAAGGAGCCTATCTAGAAGGGCTATGCGACCATAATTCTGGGAGCGAAGAATACTACGAGCATGAGAGTCGCCTCAACGTGGACGACGACTACGCTGCAGCTTTTGAGGATCAAGTTTCTCGCAGATTCGATGCTCGCGGTATAACAAAAGGCAGAGTTGGCCTGAGTTTTGGATAACGCTATTGACTAACGTATCTCACGAGCCCCCTCTATTCTACCCGTCAGCAAGTTTATACATGCAATCATTGAATTTGGATGCCGTGCCCCCATACCCGTTTCGGACATTCGATGGGGTTAGCTCCGGAAGAAATGATGGCACTGTAGTAGCTTCTACAGCAACTGTTTCTGGGCCACAAGACAGCTCTCGAATCGGCCAATTGAGGTTGGAAAGACATCGCGCAACTGAATTGTTGCATGATCATCTGACATGATCGTGCTTTCACGGCAGAGTGTCTGATAACCTCATGTCTTGGACTCCTGGACAAGCTCCTTATTGTGTTTGCTTTACAATACTCGATTTGGAGGGCCAGGATCTGTCAGCGCCTCCTATCTGATATCGAGATGTGCATGGTCGAAAAAAAGAGATTTGCAAAAAGAAGGACAATTCGTTCAAGGTCTCTACCTGATCAGAACATATTATGCAACTGCCACGGCTAGAAGAGATACAAAGATTTTTCCATTTTCAACTTGACAATGAAAACTTCCACAGCGGCGGATACCGTTCGCAAGGAGAAACAAATTATGCAGGCCGATCTTGTGTGATCTCTCTGAAGCACCTTTTTGGAGGCCGGACTCTCTAGTCACAACTGTACGGTATCCTAAGTTTGAAGAGCCCAGAGGTCGTGAAAAATGGTCTCATCGAGTGATGGGACTACGTTAGGATTGGTCGGCGGAAGAAGCGGCGACTGATCGGGATGTTCAATTTTCGTTTGGAGTGGCATGCAAACGTTACGCTGGCTTCGAGCTTCCTCTGTACTTTACAGCAGCGGCCTAATCTCTTGACAGAATCTAGATCAACTCGACAAATGGCGACCAAAGTGGACAGACGATCTAGACGAAGTCCGTCGATACTGGGCGGCTACTTGGTCCTCTAGCTAACACCCTAATGAACAGATCAATCGTCCACTCCTTAATATCCATGCTCAAAACCCCAGTATAATTTTGCCTTACAAGGCAAACATACCGCAATCCGCGGCGGCGGTAGTCGAGGCGTCTCTTCAATGCTGAGGGCGTTGAGACTGGATGCTGATTACGACGGTTGCTGGTATGATAGGCTCGTAGCACTAATTGAATATTTTATTCTTTACTCATCCAGCTTACCTTTTGTGAGCGAATGTTCTATTCCGCGTGCTGGAATCTAGGTCACTAATTCATCAGAGTGGGCTTCGTTTGTGGGAGATATTCTTGAGTGTTGGCATTTGAAAGTCATGAAAGAACTTGCAAAATATTTGCTACGCTGAAAGTGTCAATACAACCTAGAATTGTCGCTTCACTGCCATATCCCGCCCCACGACCAAATCACTCAGCTAAGTTCAATGTACCATAGGAACAATAGGCCGTCTTACTCCACCGGCTCCCTAACCTCGTGATGCAGATGATCGTGTGGGGACGTGGGTTAAATAAAAGCTTTCAGCCGTGCCAGGTTCCAGAGGTTTCCATCCCTTGCTGCCGATTCACATTTGGTAGGTACAGTGTAGTATCCGTCGGTGTTTGCCTAGCGTGCTTTTGCCTGGCGTCGCAAACCAATCGTCGCGAGAGTACCCAAGCCGTGTGAGGTGCAGTCATCATCCATATACGAGGTAGTTTCTGACCAATTAAACCGTGACCAGCTTATTAGTGCTCACCGAAATCGACCACAAGATCCTGATACTCACTGGGTAGGTATTTATGCAGACTCTAAGTTGCTTCGATTTTGAGAGTAGTAAAGTCGAGTTATCCAGCAGCCCACTAGATATCGGGATTTGAAAGCGACAGAGACCTCAACGAGGATGTAGTTTACAACGGGTGGAATGAAATGCGCTCTGGTCTCTGCATCGTGAAAATTTTCTGACGTGATCGCCTACAGTACATTTGGAATAACAATTGCTGGGGGAGAAAGTTAAAAGTAGGTACCGAATAGCTAGAGTTCGATGAATTGGCCCGATTGA